CGGACTTTTTGGTGGTAGATTTAGTTCTGCCATCAGAAGATCCTCGGACGCATCATTTCTGGAGCCCACCGCGAGGGGTTAGAGCTGTTGCCTACGTTTGGAGACCGTTGAGGTCCTCGGCATTTTCTCACAGCCATATCCGAAATGTCAGAGGAAGTTTTTGCATCATTCAACCAACGCCTCAGCAGACTTGAGGAGTTTCAGTGAGCAGGATTCGAGCGTTCTGACGAAGGACGTGGCTATCTAGCAGACTACGATCCAAGGACCCATTTCCCAAGAAGGGAAGAATCCCGAACTCCATCATCTAAGCGTCGCACCTCTAGTGTGGGTCAGCCAGGGTGCAAGCGACGGTGGAGCAACTTATGCCAATTGTCAATAAGAGGTCATTCATGAACCCAGAGCAGGAGCCGTTCAGTCTCTATCTGAAGGAACGGGGATGGGGTATGTGCATTGCAACTTAATAGTGTCTGTCGTTAATACTCTGTAGAGCATGTGCTAGCACTGACAGAGTAGCCCATCAACATCGTGTGCCGCTGATTGGAGCAATTAGGATATGGCCAACAGGACAGGCTCGATATGCTCAGGGTGAACGACTTGGCATTCCTAATAAGAATGATCTACAAGAGCAACGTGCTCGGACCAGCGGTGTGTTCCTGAACACTACATATTGCATATGCTGGCTCGTTGATTGTGTGTTTTCATAGGCATACTCAGACGACTTACACATTGACACGTTCGAGAATATCAACTTGACAGGGTGTAACATGGGCACGGTGCCGATCCTGCTCGACCCACATGCAGACGCGATCATCTCGCTGAACCTCTTACGTAATCTGATGCTTGAGATCCCACTCGACTTCATCCAGGCATGTATGTCGCTTCATGATCATGAGCTCCACTTGACCAATATGGTGACAGAGAAGGAGCCGCAGAGTGTTTGGCATTGCCATATGCTCCACCGGTTCGATTTGTCTTGCAATCACATCGTGAACCTCGACGATGCGGGCTTGGACAAGATCCCGAGCTATGGTCTTTGAAGGTGCAGAATAATCACATGAAAAGACCCTCTTGGTGATTGTTTCCCACGACAGAGGGCGCTAAAGGATCTGAACAACAAGTTTCACGTGCTACCCTCGGTGATCTCAAATATACTGAGCTTCGTTGATCTCTATGTATCATTCAACACGATCGACTAGCTGCCCAACAGTATAGGCCTGCTGTGCAAGCTCAAACACTCATCATCATTGCTAACCAGGTTTACGAGTTTTCTGCAAGCTCCAGCGAGGTCATCAACCTGCAAATGCTGGACTGTCGACGAAATCGCATCTCAAACATTCATGGCACTGTGAGCACCCTTGACCATGCTACTGAGCATCTGAACATGCTTGACCTCACTCAACCCCAATCTTGTGGCAAGTGCGATGATCATAAGGTTGTGTTTGCGATCAGCGATGCAATGTCCTTCTCATCATAGCGCCGTCATGATACATCATTAGTTAGCTCATCAATATACTGTCTCTTGTGACATAGTGAAGATGGAAAGTATTACTCCTGCTGGTCATATCGTCGTAGATGATGGCATCCACAAAGAAAACTGATCATGAACTTCTTATCAGAGATGCGTGGCATCACTGGAGGAACAAATGATTATGAACTAGCCGAAACCCGCTGCATTTGATTTACGCCAGATAGGAGTGAGAATGGATCGTCAATCTGATCACGAAGATCTTTCAAAAGTAAACGAGCAAATTTAGATCTACCATATATCATAAACAGTAGAAAGTGCAGAATAAGCATTGGTCGGGAACATTTGAATGGCGTACCGATTGGCAATTCATGATCATCAGTGCTCCACCCTGGCTGCAGCGCAGATCTAGAACTTCTGAATAGAAATAGAGCTATTATTGCCACAGGCCATTCATCATGCACTATACTATATTGAGCTTTTACATACAGCTTACCGTGCGAAGAGATGTACTAGTATCTTCTATCTGAGTCTCGGTGTGAGCTTGTGAGCTATAATCGTGCATCAAATCAGAGGGTCCATGCATGTCAAAGAGAATGTCGAACCTACCAGTTGGAAGTGGTACCAATCGATGTTACATTACATGCATTATGCTCTCGCAGCAGATGGTTTCCCATGGCCACTCTCGTGTAAGACGTTCGCTGGCATCTGCTTCAACTGTAATGAATCAAGACGAATAGTACCGGTCATGACAACATAATTACTATATTGCACTTGAAGCAGCACATGTTTAGTGATAGCGCTGATCTATTGCTTGTGGTGAGAATGAGTGAGGCATGCTTTACATGGAATAATCAATTATCATGATCGCTCAAGCACTCACGAGTGGCTACTGAAAGATTTTGATTGTGAACCTTAAGCACTTCAACTTTTCAGGCTTTAAACATACGTACACCATTCATGGCTGATTGTACATGTATCCAGATTATAATGCTTCCATTTTCACAGAAAGATGCGACTCATACAGTCGGACAACAAAGGCAACAATTTATAAGTTCTGCGGCTCCACAGAAAGGCTGCCAGTTGACAATAGAGTGTCAAGCATGGTGAGCGACATGACTGTGATATTGTCATTGAACTCGCCCATATTGTTGCCAGCCGGCAAGAGACGGATGGTCTCATAGAGTTTCCTGAGAGCATGATGCTCATCAATGGATGCATTCTTTGCCATTGCCAGGTTGCTGAGGAATTCCCAGAACTCTCGTGCTTCCTCAAATTCAGTTGTCCTTTATAGTTGTCGGAGCTGCCAGATATCTTCCACTTGACAGTAAACAAGTCCTACAAAAAGTGAGTTTCGACATCTTCAGTGACTGAAGCTGCTGACCTCATTTATGCAAAATGCCCATTGGTCCTGCAAGAGATCGGCTGTGACAATGTCCTCATCAGAAAAGCTGATAAGCAATGCGACTAGCACCAAATGGCATGCTGGTTAAAAAGCGAATTGAGAAATGGGATATGAACAGACTCACAATGGTGTTCATAGATAGAGACAACAAATACACGGACAGCTGTACCAGAATGGGTCTCATACATGTTTCCAGAGAACAAGACTTTGGACGTGAAGAACATGACCTTCACGTATCTATGACAAGTCATGAAGGCGGTCGGGTTCACCGTATGCATATGAACGATACTCACGATTGCGACACTTTGCACCAAGATGTAGTTGCATGAACATTCTGCGATGCACTTTATGTTTGCTGAATGCTTGCACGGTGATGTTTCGCAGGTTACTGTCTCACGTGAGGGTTCTTAGGTCATCATCTCACGCACACGATGATATTTCCTATCGCGAGCAGCATTCATGATCACATAGCAGATGATCATGACTGGAGCAACTCTAGATTTGAATACGCACTGAGATTGATGCTCACGAGTGCAGTTCCAGTGCATACCTAGCCATCAATTGTATTAAATTATTGAATTGGAGACCTGACCGAGTTTGCTGGAGATTCGTGCAATGCTCGTGATCGAAGCATTTGTGCCCACACTGCTACCTTCCTCTTTTCCTGTCCTCAATGACAAGAATGACCATGATGTTGGAGGTGGCCAGTTGAATCATTGCTCATAAAGCACGATGATCTCTATCATGAAAGGGGTGCTAGAGGATCTTGAGCATGTGTAAGCATTGACCGACTTTCTTCTTCCACCAGCTGCTCTCAGTCCACATGAATATGGAGTGATGCACTGATGTAAATCTTCAGCTGATGACACTGTTGTTGCTGTTCATGATTCCTGAATCTGTGCAGCAGAGATGTCAAAGCTCTCTCCGAATAGTGAATATATGCAAGCTGACGCACATTTCCGATAATCGTGTTGTGCCTGGAGCACTTGCATGCTGTGCTCAAATCTATATCACCAGCAGACAAACCTTTATGCGGCAAGTCATTGTAAGATATGCTTTGATTGGGCAGCCTACAGTCATTCAGATCAGAAAATGCAT